TCCCAAGACACTTCTGTCTGCTCGGCAGTTGGGTCTTGTGGGGGTCCGGCGTTCTTAAAATGCTGGACCCCCTGGATGTATGTGGACTGAGCTTGAGACCAGATACATCCAGGCGGTGCCCCCTGGATGTGTCTGGTCTCAAGCTATAAGTCCACATACATCCAGCGGGCTCAGCATTTTAAGAACGCCCGATCCTCAGGAAAGCAGCAAATTTGGACGAGTTTTCGGCCAAAAAACTCGGTTTCAATATCTGGTCTCAAGCTAAGTCCACATACATCCAGGGGGGCCAGCATTTTAAGAACGCTGGATCCTCCAGAGCACCAGAGCAGCTAATTTGGACGAGTTTCGGCCAAAAAACTCGGTTTCAATTTCGTTCAAAAAATAAAAAATCATAAAATATTAAAATGTCCATTCTGTTAAAAAAAAAAAAAAAAAAGACAAAAAATAAATAATAAATAATAAATAAATAAATAAAATGTCCATTTTGACGAAATGGCAGTTATCTTCTCTTTTCCCTTTTCGGTCAAAACGGTTTCAATTTCGTTAAAAAAAAACTAAAAAGTCATAAAAATGCCGAACTCTCCTGTCCGCAGAGATCGGCGTCCCGCTTCACAAGCCGATGCCCATCAGCAAAATGAATAAGTGCACAGAGTCCAGATCCACAATTTACAAATTAATTTGGATTTCGACAGTACAAAATTTCCCGCGACAGGAGCGGAAGGTGCGAACAACCTGATCATGTGTCCTACACAGACAATCATAGCCTGCCTGTGAGGAAAAAAAATGAGAATGCGCTCTCCGAAGATGAGCCGCGAAAGTGCATGTCTGCACCCGTCCGTGTTCTTCGACTGTATGCGGAAACATCGCGGGGCAAGACTTCGACCAACATCTTATAAAAAAAAAAATAAAAAATAAAAAAATAGAGAGGTTGCAAAGTGTGTATAGTACAAGGAGGGTGGGGAAAACCTTTGGAACAAAGAGCCAAATCGCAACAGATCGTGACGACGAGGCCACTCTACTCTGTTTCCAACACTCGGCGACAATTTTTTTTTTATGTGAGGAAATTTGAAGGAAGGGGGGATCTCCGAAGATGAGCCGGGCAAGTGCATGTTCCTTTGTTTGTTTTTTTTAAACATAGCCTGCATGTGAGGAAATGTCAAGGGGGATCTCCGAGGAGGATAAGCCGGGCAAGTGCGCACGTTTGTACGCATCTTCCTTCGGCTGTATGTGCAAACATTGCGAAGAAAGACTTGGGCCAGCATCTAGCAAAGGCGCAAAGTGTGTCTAGTACAAGAAGGCGGGGGGAACCATCGGAACAAAGGGCCGAACCCACTCCGCTACCGATTCAACAGTAACACTTAGGGACGCTTTCTGGACCAGGTGCATTTGGACGAGAATGTATCAGGACGATGGTTGAGCTCCAGATCCAGATAACACAGTGCGTCTCGTTGTGAGTGAACCGAGCCGGGCCCTTAACTTGCATGCTCATCTTTTCCATTCATGGGAAGGGAATTCTCACGGCTCACGGATGCAATTGACGAACTTGCATTCTGCACCTCTTCTGCTGCAGGAAGGTTAACCACAGTCCGGTCAGGTCAGTCAGCATGCACCTGGTCCAGAAAGTGTCCGAAGAATGCACCTGGTCCAGAAAGTGTCAGAAGAATGCACCTGGTCCAGAACTGTCTCTTATACACATCTAGATGTGTATAAGAGACAGGGTATACTGCCTGCTCTTATCAGCAGCACTAGCACAGGAAGGGGTGTTTTTTAAAAAAAAAAAAAAAAAAAAAAAAAAAAAAAAAAAAAAAAAAAAAACAGGTAAGGCATCACATTTGACACCTAAGGAAGGTACTGCCCAACTGCGAAGTACATCAGCAGATGTTATAATCATACGTAAATGAGTTTTGGCCGGGACAAGGACTCGGTTATCTACTTCTAATGGTACTAGCCTGCGGTGCAGAAGGAGATCTAGCGAGGGGCAGGTAGATCAGCATGCACAGCTTGGTTACAAGAAATTAAAACAAAAAAAAAAAAGGGGCGGGAGCTTTTACAGCGAGAAGGGCATGAGCCACAGTAGCAAGCAGATCATGGCCAAGGAGGGGGTAGGACTGCCACGGCCCAAGAACTGAGTGTTCTTGTTGAGTACTGAGACTTCGATCGAGGGATGCTGGCCGCACTTTCCACCACTGGCAGGTGCCACTCCCCACCAATAGATGGAGCCATCTAGTCTCTAGAACCTGGGCAGAAATAAGGAAATCTAGATATCCAGGACCTTCCTTGGTCTCTGCAGTGATCAAATAGAGACAGGCATCAGCAACAGCTCTCTTTTGTACAAGTACGGGGATAATGGACCCAGTTTCCAGCAAGAGCAGCTCCCCACTTTTTTTTTTTTTTTTTTTTTTTTTCAAATTTACTTGATCATGGAGCCCTCCAACCAGGGAACCAGTTACAGAAGCTGCTCTTAACAACTCTGTCAGTGTCCATCCCCTCAACAGTCGCGGTGGTTCTCTCTCACCACCACAGGCCCGGGATAGAGGCCTTGCACACAGGTGTTCCTTAAGGGGGTGGGGTTATACACATCTAGATGTGTATAAGAGACAGGTGTTGCTCCCCACCAATAGATGGAGCCTTGTTTTTGGAAAAAAAAAAAAAAAAAAAAAAAAGAGTGACATGGCAAATATGGTGAAATACGGATTTGGCTTCACATGACATAAACAGACCGAATGAACACAATCACATATAGAGTATTGGATGCACTCTAATGACATCTCCACAAATCATTGAAAATAGGGATGCTGGACCCTATTTCCAGCTGACACTCGTCACATAATTGTATTGGGACCCAATTTCCAGCAGATGCTGCTCCCCACCAATAGATGGAGCCTTCAACGCTGGGGCCCACTTAACGAGGCTTGTCTTATCACCTCGTTAAGTGGGTTTCCCCGCACATGAATTTTTCAAAACAAAATAAACAAGTACCTGTAATTACTGTGCCTCCCCCCCCCCCCCCCCACACAAAAAAAAAAACCGTCAGCGTGGGCTGAACTAGCAGGCCAGTACGTATAACAGGGATCACTATGGGATAAGAGCCCATGTCTGTTGTAGGGCCACCTTGGTTCAGCAGCTCCTTTCCTTTTTACTTTATTTTTCAAAATAATACGCTATTTTAGTATTTTCTTCTCTCAATATTTTTTCCACCACACACTCAGGCTAGCTACCTACATACCCCGCGCTATCTACCCACCGTGACATATCTCCCATGGCAGAACTCCACATCTATGCGCACCGAAGCAGGGGCACAGCCCTGAGCTGTGCACTGATTCAGAAGGGGAAATTGACTATGGCATTGTCTATTCAGAGAACAGTACCTAGGCTCCTGACCCCTAACGAGGGCAACTGACTATGTCTATCCACTCAGAGTCCACTCTATGCAGGGAGTAGTACCTAGGGTGCTAACCCCTACCGTCTTCCTCCGAACATAACGCATATGGGTTGTAAATGAGTACAAGTTGTGCAATGCACTGTCAGCGTGTATTCTACTGGAATACGACACATGCGCGTTCTATTCGAATAGCCCTCATTTTGGAATATAACGCATATTATGTGTTCTATTCATTTTTTGTTTCAAATTCGGGAACTCGAACACAACACATGCATTATGTTCGGGGGAAGACGGTAGTGAGGGATGCAAAGCAGCGGGTCCTTTCTTATTCGTGGGAAGCAACACATGCTGGGAATCGGGCCCAGCATCCCTCAGAGACAGACGAAGGATTTGGGACTACTGCCCAAAACATATCGGGCACCGAGCGGAGTGATTGCGATCACTCCAGCACCCCCCAACTTCAAGTTGTTGAAACTCTCATCACCTGCTGGAAAACAGGTCCAGCGTCCCTTAGACAAAGAACGAATCAGAACGAATCAGGAAAATGTCAGGAAGTACAACTGAGTAAGAGACCTTCCCCCCCTCAAACAAACAAACAAACAAACAACAACAACAACAACAA